CCGTCCGTCATCGCCAGCGGTTAGTTCGATGACGACGCTTGTACGACTCTAATACCACTTGTTGGTCCCTGGATCTCTAGCACGGGTGAGCCGACCACTCACCAGCGTTGCCAACCATACATTATGACTAGAGGTAGAAGAAGGGAGAGAGAACAGAGCACGCACATACACAGCACAAGCACCAATGTTGGCCGGAGCTTTATAGAGATGACAAAATTGAACTCGTTATCTTTACTGAGTTGCAATGGGAAACTATATATACAACTCTACCCATCTGATCCTAGTACACAGACATGTCAGTCATCATCATGACTCATCTGAGGACTAGATGTGATGTGAGGGATGACTTTGACACTGCCCCTCACTGTGGCTGGCTGCAGCAGAGGGAGCATTTTTGGCCGCCCACAGAGAGCGGGCTGGCAAAGCAATAGGGAGCCCTTTTGGTGCCTACCCCTGCCGCGCGTTTACATAGGGGAGCAACAGATTACTTAACAGAAACTATCCAATTTTACTCGCTTCGACAGTTTTGACGGGCGGTTTTGCCCTATGAAGCGTCATGTGAGAATGATTTTTTTTGTTTGACTATGTTGGTGTTGGTAGTTTAAGGTGGTCAAATAGGCTTTACAAAATATATATAAATATAATTTTGAAAAAAATATCCAAATACTTTTAAACACATGCAGTTGAAAATCTCAAATTCTATTTAATCTTATAACATTTGTATAGTTTTGTTTTGGCTTGGAGAAATATGAAACCAAATTCAGATATGTCCTAAAATCATGCTCTATCTTATAGTACCTAGCATGAAATTATATGAATCTTGTATGGCCTTTTTTTTTGTGTGTCGACAAGAAATTATATGAATCTTTTGATGGTTGCAAAATCCAGGTGCCATAGGAAAACTGTATGATGATTGGACGTGAGTAGAGATATCGTAAGCTTAAGAAAAAAATCAATTTGAATTTCACGAGGACCCATGAACTTCTTTTGATGATGGTAAATATAAGTCAACATAAGTTTATCCTAAATCAATTTTCTGAACATTGACCATTAGCGTTCTAATTTTATATACACTAACAACACAAGAAATATCATACTCCCTCTGTCCCTAAATATCTGTCGTTTTCGCTTTTCGAGAAATAACTTTGACTAAATAAATATTAAAAATATTAATATTTTTGGTACATAATTAGTATCATTGGAAAGGTCTTTGAATCTAGTTTTTAATAAATTTATTTGGAGATACAAATATTGCACTTATTTTCTACAAATCAAATCAAACTTGCGACACGCACATCAACGGTGACAGTTATTTAGGGATGGAGGAAGTAAGAAACAGTACTTGCGCGCGCGTGTGGTAGAGCTGATTTAGCTCGTCCATGTAGAATGTATTTTCTTGACGGGGTGCGTGAATTTCAACAGATTATGTAAAGCAGAAAATATCACTATCATGCTCTTACCAGATAAGAGAAGCTGATAATAATAAGGCAAAATAGCATTCTACGACACATCCAACACGCTTGTTGGCCTCGTATACATACATTAGGATCATTCCCGTGTGTTGCAATGGGAACAAAATAATATCCGAGCACATCAACGTGGCTCGAGCGACAGCCAAAGTCAAGATCGACGTACACACAACACTTTGTCCATTGAGCTCTGTTGGCAATAAAATTTGAGGCTTTCACTTCAAAGAAAATAGTTTGAGTCTTAATGATTTTTTTGTGAAAGTGTAAACATCTCTAATAGAAAATGGTCGTCTCACATCAAAGTAATATTCTAATCTAACATATGAAACAAGTTGCAATTGGACCCATAACACCAAACAAATATGAAACAAGATATGTCCAGTCATAGAGACATGCTAATTTCAGTTACAGCCCTTTTCGGAACAAAATAATACCCGATCACATCAGCGTGGGCCGAGCGGCAGCTAAAGTCAAGATCGACGTACACACAATACTTTGTCCACTGAGCTATGTTTGCAATAAAATTTGAGTTCTTCACTTCAAATGAAATAGATTTGAGTCTTAGTGATTTATTTGTGAAAGTGTAAGCATCCGTAATATAAATGGTTGTCTCACTTGTAGAGTGTTGAAATCAAAGTAATATTCTAAATTAACATATGAAACAAGTTGCAATTGGACTTATAAAAACAAACAAATATGAAACAAGGTATGTCCGGTTGTGGAGACATGCTAATTTCAATTGGAGCCTTTTTCACAAGTCAAAGACATTATCTCAAGCTCACTTTCAACATTTATGGCAAATCAAAGTAATATTGATGACGACAAATAGTGCAAATATTTTATGTTGGACATGCTATTGATCATGAAGTATGCAAGATTTCTGAAAAAAGTATATACGTATACACTCATTAATTAACATACCTTTAGATTTTTTACTACTTTTGCAATTAGGCCATTTGGGTGACAGCGTTGTCGTACCCGAGTCGGTGGCGAATAGGATGGGCCCCACCACACGCCACACAAGCTCGGATCAATGGTCCATGCTAGCGTGGCTCCCCTGGTCACGCGTGTGTGACGCGACAATGTGATGCTCGCGTGAACAAAAGAGTGGATTTGCTTATTTTTTTAGTTATATATAATATAATAAGAAATAAATAAATAATATATAATAATATATATAGAGATGTAGATAGTGATAGAGATTGAGTCTGACAGTCAACGCGCGTGCACCGCCCAAGCGGCAGAAATCCAACGTGGCCACGTGGGTGTCGACATGGGTTTCGCCGCCGTCGCGGTCGCGAGCCGATAGAACTGGGACGCCAGACGCGCGAGTGGTGCTGGGTACGTGGACGGCTGCGAGTCGCCCACACGAAACGTCCGGGCCTCATTTAGATTGGGGTTATGAATCAATATTTGGTACTGTAGTATTTTCGTTTGTATTTAATAATTATTGTCCAATCATGTCTAGCTAGACTTAAAAAATTTATCTTATAATTTACCATCAAACTATATAATTAGTTATTTTTTTATCTATATTTAATACTTCGTACATGTGTCAAAAATTTGATTGACGAATAAAGTGAAAAAACTTGCGATCTAAACGAGGCCCCGGTGCGGCGGCCTACTTCACTGGGCACTGGCCCATGTGCCACATGCGCCAGCTCCACCCAGATTCTGACAACGCCTCCCCAACTTCCTCGCCCCCGCAGCGACAGCGCGCACTTGGATTCGGCGACCGTCGCCGGAGCGCGGAGGGGGCAAGCGCCGATCCAGAGACGATGGCCGCCGCGGGCTCCTCGCCGTCGTCGTCCTCAAGCAAGCGGTGTGTGCCCTGCTCTTTACTTCATCCCCTCCCTCCATGGCTCGCGCCGTTCCCTGCTCCTCCACTCCCCCGTCCATGGCTGCTCCACAGCTCGGTTGCTGTTGCAGTTGAAACCCTGCTTGTTCAAAACAAGACCGATTATGCAAGATCTCGATGAAAGTTTCCACTTTTTTGCTGCGAAATGTGATGAATCGGATCCACCCAGCCAAAGCACTGTGCTCTCTCTGGTGGAATGTGATGCAGTGGCTGAGAAGCTGTGCTTATCTTTTAGTGAGCCAACTGTTCTTTTTCTTTCCCTTCTTTTTGGGAGGAAATTGTGTGCCAAGTGTATCCTTAACCATTCTACTATTCCAGACTTGCAGTATTTATCGTCATACAGTGGATTGGATTTAGAAATCTTTCATGAATCTGAGACTAAATCCAGTTGCAATCTCATATTAGTGTACGGAGCTGCTTCATCCGGTAGGCGGTAGCTGTGTTTTCGTCGTTCAAATTTGATCGTGCGTTTCTCCCCGAAGCACAGGTTGGAAGGGAAGGTGGCCCTCGTCACCGGTGGCGCCACCGGCATAGGCGAAGCCATCGTTCGCCTCTTCATGGAGCACGGCGCCAAGGTCTGCATCGCGGACATCCAAGACGAGGCTGGGCAGCAGCTGCGCGACGCGCTGGGAGGCGACGCGCAGGGCGTCATGTTCGTCCACTGCGACGTGACGTCGGAGGAGGACGTGAGCCGCGCCGTGGACGCGGCGGCGGAGCGGTTCAGCGCGCTGGACGTCATGGTGAACAACGCGGGCGTGACGGGCACCAAGGTGACGGACATCCGTGCCGTGGACTTCGCCGAGGCGCGCAGGGTGCTCGACGTCAACGTGCACGGCGTGTTCCTGGGGATGAAGCACGCGGCGCGCGTCATGATCCCGCAGAAGCGGGGCTCTATCGTGTCGCTGGCCAGCGTGGCCAGCGCCATCGGCGGGATGGGCCCGCACGCGTACACGGCGTCGAAGCACGCCGTGGTCGGGCTCACCAAGAGCGTCGCCGCGGAGCTCGGCCGACACGGGGTGCGCGTCAACTGCGTGTCCCCCTACGCCGTGCCCACGGCGCTGTCCATGCCGCACCTGCCCCAGGGCGCGCGCGCCGACGACGCGCTCAAGGACTTCCTCGCCTTCGTCGGCGGCGCGGCCAACCTCAAGGGCGTCGACGTGATGCCCGAGGACATCGCCCAGGCGGTGCTCTACCTGGCCAGCGACGAGGCAAGGTACGTCAGCGCGCTGAATCTCATGGTGGACGGCGGCGTTACAGCCGTCAACCTTAACCTCAAACCGTTCGAGGAGTAGCTCAGCTTGTTAGCAGCATTATTATCACTCTTGTTCTGCTGCTACTCTGAGATGTGGCTTGTTGTAAGGAGTGTCTGCAAGACTAATAAACCGCAGCATGTTACATGTAGCGAACAGAGGATTGGACATTCTAAGTATCAATGCCGAATTCCCGTATATGGTTGCTGACTGTGCTAACAAATGAATTTTCAGCAGTGCCTAAACAGGCAGGCAGGCCTTGTTTAGTTTCTATGTTTGATATATGCATAGAGTATTAAATATAGACTAAAAAAATAACTAATTGTACAGATTACGACTACTTTGCGAGACGAATAGAGCAAGTACAATTTTCCTGTGCAGCGTTGCTGTAGTGTGCAACGACCTTTCAAAATCAAGAAGAATCTAATAATCAGCTGAAGGTTGACGCGAAACTACAAAATCATCATTATCAAGTGAGTGATTGCTCGAGTCAGCAGCATCCTTGTTATCTTCAGCACAGTCAGACCCTGCGATGGCGTCACAAGTTGTCACATATGCTTCGGCGCCGGAGCTTTCAGCCAATTCAGTAACACTGTCATTTTGAGCCTGCAGAGCATCTCTTTTCACAATGTCAAGCAGGATACCTTTAGTAGTTCTTTCAGGCTGCAGCAAATCTCCTTCAGAAACAGCGATGCTTGTGGGAGTAGAAGCTTGACTGGCTCTGGTGTTGACAGTGTTGCATGCTTCGGTCTCAGAATTTTCTGTGCATCTACCTGGCGTATTAACACTTGAGCTATTGTTCGGTCGTGGATTGTTTGGGAAGGTAGATTCTGACGAAATACCTGCAGTGCCACCTTCCACAGTACAGGGCCTACTTAATTCCGTGTCAATCTCAAGATTATGGATGAAACTGATGAACTTGTCAGCAGATGCTGTTCTCATTAGAGGCCCACCACTCCTGGTCCAGGAATTAAGGTCAATGGTTTCTGATTCACTCTCACTTCCGTCATGAGAATTGCGCCGAACATGGTGAGAAAGAGTTGGTGCGCCAACAAGAGCAGCACCTTGCTGCGTGGATGAAGTGGCAACTGCTGAAATCTCTTCCGAGAGAGATTCTGAAGAATTCTCTCGACTGATGCAGCTCCATGACGGTACCCTCCTTGGAGTTCTGAGTCGAACATAGTTAGAATGACCCTGGGAAGCAGCCACCGTCCTTTCAATGCTTCTTTTTAGCCTTCGTTTGTGGTTTAACACTGCTATAGATTCATCCAATGCAAGTTCAATGGCACAGTTTGCTCTGATTGCAGAGAGCTTCTCCCATGTGCACCTGCGGCCTTGGTTGGCAGCCATTTGGAGTTCCGCATATGTTGGATTCTGAATAATCTTCAAGTACTGAAAGTTGGAGAGGTGTGAGGGAAAATTCTTGAACTTGAAGTGTTTGTATTTTTCACCTAAATAACCTACTCGGAACTCAGAATAATACCTGAGCTACTGTTGCTGGCATAACCATGGTGACATCACCCTCCCAGTCCTGAGCAAACAATTTTGCAAGTCCTCCCATTGGAAGACCAATCTCTAGGATTTGGTTACATCGATACTTAACCTCCATCTCAGCAAGACGAGCAAGCTACACAGATCAGATCAATGTTATGCCTGGTAAAAGCTCATAGCAATTGGACTTTGAAAGAGAGAACTCTAACACAGTGTTCAAGAAATATACAAAACTAGCAGGGTTAAACAAAATACATGCACAAGTGTTTTCAATAGAAATACGGAACATTGGCTGGATATCCACCATTAATTATTTTCATTAAGTCCTATCATAGTACTTAATCAACTCTTCAATCCCACCAGATACTGCCTATATGCAAGAGATGATAACCATGAATAGTCTAGCAGCATGTGTGGAATTGTTTAAGATGAAATACTATTGAAGAAAAATAACATAACTATCTGCAACATGAACTACAGGCCTGCATTCTAACATAAACCATAATCATATGCTATGAGACTAACATAGCTAAAGGTCCCTAGTCCCTACTCAATATGGTCACAAACATACCTTTCCAGCAAAGCGGCCTCCATAGGCTCTCACTAGCTCTTTCATTCGGAGGAGTGGAGAAATGTGAGGATTAGTTTGGCTCACAATGAAATGATTCACATTAAACAACTCCTTGAGTCTCATCATGGGCAGATCCATTTCCAAGCTCCCGTCTCTCCACCGGCGCTTCGATGCTCCAGGGCCTAGTTCAGGATCTGTGGCAAAGGGTGCATGGAAGGGGACTATGTTGCCGAATCTATCCTTTGCCATCAGTTCCTGAGCTTCAAAGAGCCCAGGAAATGCACAAGAGGCAGTTACTGCACTCCAAATAACAACGTGCGGTGACGTCAGGTAGTTGAGGCAGCGGGGTGGCTCATTTTTTCTAGGAGAGCAAACGGTGATCCCAAGGACACGGCCAGTCATGTCATAAGCCTCTTGAAATGTTAAGTTACTTGTGAGATCCCTCAGAAGCCTTTGCATCTGGCTAATGTCATGCAGTGCACCATAAGTGGTGACACGCCTCATCACTGCAAAAATTCCACCTATCCTATCAAAGAACTGCAAGGTCTGTAATGAATCTGTGAAGAAGCTCTCAATCTCAGGCCATGTTCGGGTAGCAACAATCGAACATATAATGGAACCAACGCTTGATCCTGCTATAATCCGAGGCAGAAGCTTATGCTCAACCAATGTTTTCACTACACCTACATGGAAAGACCCCAGTGAAGCACCCCCACTTAAGAGTAGCGCTGTCCTCCCAAAGGCATGCCTGGTCTCCTGAACAAAGGCAAGCTTCTCTTCCAATAGCAACTCATCAGTGTCAGATTCGCACACCATTCTTAGTTGAGTAGAAACCTCTTCGATGTATTCCTTTATAAGCTTAGGAACCTGCATTGCAACAGATCAGCCGTGCTGTAATGACGACATATATAATTCAGAGTTTCAGCCATCTTTGGTAATGCTGAATTTCTTGTTATAAGTAAGAGGTGGTTTTGTATTTTCAAGACCATCAACATTTACAGAACATACAGTAAGCTGCAGTTACTTTGTCAATTACCTCTAGCCTGCCCTTGTGGAGTTCGGGATTGCACATGTTCCCCAAGTTCCTAACAAGATCGCCGCGCATACAGAACACCACGTCCCGGAGCGACCCGTCCTCCCTCCGTCTCCGTAGCTCCTCAAGCCTGTTCCTGATGAGCTCCTCGTCATAGAAATCCGCCTCGTGGACCTGATCAGACATCTTGTCGAGCACCTTGGCGGCGCGCGCCCAGACCTCGTACGTCCCGGCATGGAGCATAGCCTTCTCGTACTGCCTGCGCCGGCGCGCGAGCGCGGTCCGCGACCGCGCGCCGGAGAGCTTCCTCAGGAAGAGGGCGAAGAGGACGACCATGAGGAGGACGCCGTGGGTGTTCCTGAGGTGCAGCCAGGACGCCGCCACCGGCAGAGCCGCGCTGCGCACGCGCGAGATGGCTGCGTACGCGCGAGCCCGCAGGCGCCACAGTGAGCTGAAGAGGAGCACGCGGAGCGCCACCCCGCGGCCCAGCAGCGTCGACGGGCCGATCCTAAAGGAGCCGACGCTCGCTTCCCCGGACTCGTCCATTGCAAGGTGGAGCTAGCGATCTTTGTGAGCTTCGTCAGCAGCAGAAGAAGGAAAAAAAACCAAAACCCAAATTGGTTTACTCTCGAGTTGAGCTCTTCAGCACCGATACCAACAGAGCAAACAGTAATAAATCCCCAAATTCGCACCAGTGGGGGCAAAAATTGATGGAACCCAATCAAGTGATCACCGCCGAAGCCCTGCTGCTACTCAAATCTGAACTACAAGAATCGGAATTGAGCAGCGCAGGGTGCCGGATCAAGAAATCGCGAGCTAAACCAACCAAATCAGTCGCGCGCCTCCGATGTCTGCCTCGACTCGGGACGCAACCGCATCAAGAAGATGCAACGCGTGGGGGGAGAGAAGTAAAGCCCCAAAATTGTGAAAGAAAAAAAAAGGAAAAAGCCAAGTAAATAAGCACAAGTTTCCAACAATTTTGGCCGGATCAATCGATCAGAGACCGTGTATATATAGTATTATTAAAAAGGAAAAATCCTTTGCGTGGAAGCGAAGTGGGATGGGCAGACGTGGAGTGGAGCTGGCGTGGACGCAATGATAAAAAATAATGGCGAGGCGAGGATACGGCGGCGTCAGATTGGGCGGGCAATAATGGCGGCGCGAGACGAGTGCGAGAAGCGGATCGCTTGCCTGGTCCTGTGTCTCCTCGCCTTTTCCAGCTCTAGACGACGAAGAGGATGAAGAAGAATCATGAAACAGAGGGAGGATTTGTTGTTGCTTGCTTCGTGGCTTTTGTGAGAACAGGTCGTCGGAAAGGGTGAGGTGGGAGCCGTTTGTGTGTACGGACGCTCATCCAGTCAAGTACCAACTGCCTAGTCATCCAGGCGCCAGTTGATATATATTCTACGGAGTAATATTTTCATTTTCTACGGAGTACTGTACTCAAGTATACGTACTAGTATATTTTTCTCTTTGCTTGTGAAGCGAAAACTATTTATAGGAACAGAACAAACGAACAATGCTAGTTGCGAGGCAACAAATGGCGGTCATTGCGAGGCATCTTTTCCTCGATGGAGCACACGAGGCACAGACACTGCTTCATCTTCATCCACGAGAGAAGCTTTGTGTTTAAAAAAAAACCACGTGAAAGCAACGACGCAGGAGGTATCGTACTATCGCGTGGTGCGATTAACGTGGTATCAAAATAGCGTTCATGTTTTGTTTAATTAACACGTGGCTTCATGAAAGTCATTTTCAGCTAGGTGGGAGGAACATTGTCGGTCCACGCGCGCAGATACAGTCACAAAATCTGGTCTTACTTGGGAGATTAAAAAAAGACATTTTTATATGAGATAAAAAAAGGCCCGATTGATGAATCGAACTCAACAACGTGTAGAATAATGTTAAAACTAACCAGAAATATCTTTGCGTCCATACTTTGAATCAAACTAGGAACAAACATGTGGCCGCAATGTGACTACAATATGTTTAACCCCTGCAAAACATATGCTATTCATAAGCACCTGTGTTCACCAGAATGCACAATGTCACTAAATTAACATCATGTGCTTTTGATGATTAGTGCATAGAGTTGGGAATTCAAGTTCACATTCTAATCTGATTATGAGAATGAAAGTGCAATCAAATTTTAATTATGAATTTTGGTGATAATGATCACGCAATTAGAGAACTAATGTGATTTATCGGGATGATAAGCAGGGAATTTATATTCGATGATGTTACACGAAACGGAGGAGCCCCAATTACAAATATAGATGGCTTCAAACTCAAAAGAGGTTTAAGATTCTTTTATATCTTGAATTTGAGTATAGGAAAAGTCGTACTATAAAGGGGAACACAATGCTTAAGCTAATATGTGCTACCAAGTGCTTAAATAACCACAAGCATCCTCATATTCACAGCCAAGACAATCTACACTTCACTATTACCCTTGCTGTCTTCCGTGGTCCGACACTATCACACTAGAAGAGAGGCACAAGGAAGTGAGTGCCCACGCTGACTTCCCTGGATGGCTCGAGACAAATTAAACGGTCTCGCCCGACCCCTTGGGTGCGAGATCTGTCTCGTCCGACCACAAGGTCGCGGGATCCGTCTCGCCCGACCCCAAGGTCGCGGGCTCCGTCTCGCCCGACCTTGAGGCCACGAGCTTCGTCTCACCTGATCCCTTGGGTGTGGTGATTGTTGTGGAATGAGGGTATATATACATTTTCCTTTCCTCCCAAACGGCTATCTGCGATTTAAGTGACCGTTGGAGGTTGGGGGTATATATATCTTTCCCCTTCCTTCCCAATGTGAACCTGCCTCTTCTTCCTCACTTGAGCACGTCCAAAGTAGAGCAGGAGCTCTCTCTCTCCCTCCATTGCTGACTTCAAGCAAATCCATTGATTTCCCCATCAATTCTTGAGGAAAAAGGGTGCCCAACTCGATCAGAGAGCAGCTCCATTGATTCCCAACTCTAAAGAGCACTTGGTTCACGTTTCAGCCGACGGTTGTGTTTGTTATTCTTGGAGCTTGGCTCCTAGCCGGCTAGAGCGTCGCCCGTAGAGCTTGCCAACTTATGTGGCAGCCCTGAAAGGTTTGTAACCATCTCTTGAAGTTAGTAAACTCATCCCTCATCTCAAGAGTTAAATCTCTTGACTTGAGAAAGAGGTAGGGTCGCAAAGCCCTAAGCCTTAGTGGTATACCTCAACAACATGGACTTAGGCAAGCCTTGGTGGCAAGCTGAACCATAGGATAAATCTTTGTGTCATCTTGTGCTTGTCTTGCTACACTTGTGTTCTTGTTGTTGTTGAGGTGATTTCTAGGATTGAGACCGATCTACTTGTGTGTGGTGTTCCCACCATTTTTAGCTATCGATCTATGATCTACCACCCTACAAGAAGCTAAGAAATTTACCCGATCTAAATTTCGTTGGGTAGATTTTAAATTGTAAACTAATCTCTCCTGTAGATGCGGTAGTGCCGCGCTCATAGAGCGGCAGTGCCGTGAGTGAATTTGACTTCGGTTTGAGTTGAATTTTTACAGACCTATTCACCCTCCCTCTAGGCGTACCAGAGATCCTACAAGTGGTATCGGAGCAGGTTACCTCGTGTGCGCTTCACCGCGTGAGGTATGGAGCCCGGGAGAGGATCCGGTGTTGTGAAACCCATCAACGTCGATCCGAAGGATGTTGGGCTGCATGACACCGACAATAGTGAGCTTAGCGCCTCTACAGCGAGCAACTCCACTCTCCCATAGCTATGAAGAAGAAAGAAAGAAGAAGAAGGGTAGCTAGAAAAGAGAAAAGAGAAAAGAGAAGCAAGAGATAAGAAGAAGAAGGAGTAGCAGTGGTTCAAAGAGAAGAAAGCAAAAAAGAAGAAAGAAGATTCAAGATAGAAGCTAGAAGAAAAAGAAGAGAAGCAAGAAAGAAGAAGGAACAAGAAGCAAAAGCCTCCAATGCTTTTTCAAGTGAGCTATCTAGTAGCTCCGAAGATGGTGATGATGATGAGTCCTACCAAGTGCATAGCAAGAAGGACAAGAAAGGAAATGGCAAGAAGAATGACGACAACAAATATACCACCGTATCATTTAACTATTTTTCTATGTCTATGACTAACTATGATCGCAAGTCTTTCATCAATATGTCCATGGGCAAGTTACCTTATTTCGATGGGACTAACTTTGCCAAGTGAAAGCACTTGATGAGAGCCTATCTTATAGGTCTTTATCCCGACATTTGAGAGGTTGTTTGTAATGGATTTGAGCCACCGGTTGATCCTAAGAATCCAACCATGGAAGAAATGAGAATCATCCACCTCAATGGTCAAGCTACTAGTGTGCTACTTAGTGCTTTGGATGGTGATGAATACAATAGAGTGATTGGTGTGGATGTTGCTAAGCAAATTTGTGATACTTTACATCTTGCACATGAAAGGGTTGACAAAGTGAGAAAGACAAAAATTAATTTGTTGATGTCCAAGCTCAACCGATTTGTTATCTTGGATAGAGAAGGGCCACAAGAGATGTTTGATAGGTTGATGACAATGGTTGGGAAGATTAGAGGCTATGGTTACGATGAGCTAGATGATCATAAAGTTATCAAGATTATGTTGGAAGCCTATTCACCTAGAAATGAGACCGTAGTCACTCTAATTAGAGATAAGAAGAAGTTTAAGTACTTCACATCAAATGATGTACTTGGGAGGATCTTGACCTTTGACATGCAAAGAAAAGAAGCAAATGAGAGAAAGAAACTTAGAGAATTGTAAGCAATGTTAGAGGGCATCAAGATCAAATATGTAGCTCTCAAGGCCAACAAATCAAGCAAGCAATGCTCTACAAGCAAGTCCAAGATCAACCAACAAGCTTCAACTAGCAAGCCCAAAGCAAGCAAGCAAGTTTAAGAAAGAGTAGAGACCACATCATCTTCAAGTGAAAGTGAAAATGATGATGATCAATATGAGAAAGTTGACGATGTTGCTCCCTTTTTGAAGAGGTATCACAAGGGGCTAAAGAAGCAAGGCTACAAGGTAGTGAAGAGAAGCTTTCCAAACAAGAAAAAGAGGACTTGCTACAATTGTGGAAGCACCGATCACTTTATTGCCAAGTGTCCATATCAGATTAAGGACAATAAATACAAGAATGACAAAAAAGATGAGAAGGTCGACCATAGAAAGAGCAAGAAGTACATGGGAGAGGCTCATATTGGGCATGAATGGGACTCAACTAAAGAAGGCACAAGTGAAGAAGATGAGAATGTTGCAACTATTGCTATTCACAAGTCATCCTATCGGTACGAAAAGTGACCAATAAGTAAATATTTATAGTTTTGTCATACATTGTGATCGGATGTGGCCTAGCACTCAATGACATAGGGTTTATACTGGTTTAGGCAACGTGCCCTACGTCCAGTTTCAGTCGGTCGGTGACTTTATTCCTAAGCCCAGGTGCTCGAAGTTTGCTGTGGGGTTACAAACGAGTGGGAATAAGAAGGGGGTGTCGAAGGTCTGGTAGAACTCTGAACCAAAGGGCCTAGAGTGATGGGA